CAAACGCCCGCAGCCGGCGGCGGCGCACAGCGGCTTCAGCGAGCGCTCTTTGGCTGTCCCCATGGAGGAGCTCTATGAGAGGGCCCTCGCCTCCAAGAAGCGCCTCGTGCTCTGCGGCCACTCGCTGGGCGGCGCGGTGGCCCTGATCTGCACGATCAAGCTGCTGAGGATCTGGGCCGCGCGGCAGCTGGGCGGCCGGTACGCGGCCGCGGGCGGCGCGTCGGGCGGCGGCGACGCGGGAGCGGTGTCGGCGGAGCAGCGCGGCGTCGAGCGGCTGGCCGCGGCGGCGGCCGCGGCGGCGGCAGCGCCGTTTGCGGACTCCAACATCCGGTGCATAACGTTTGCGGCGCCGGCGGTAGCGAACGAAAGCTTGGCGGCGGAGGTGGTGGCTGCTGGGTGGGACCGGTTCATATCAAACTTTGTGCAGCCAGGTGCGCTGGGGTTGTGCAGGAGGGGACGAGGTTGAAGTGCTGTCACAGCCATGTGATGCCAGGGGCAGACGGCGTGCGCCAGGTGCCGCATTGGCCCATACTGTCCCACTTTGGGTGGTGTCGTTTCAGGTGCCATCAGCCCGATGCAGCATCAAAGACAGCAAATGAACATCCTCACAGATATGGTGCCAGGTGCTTCCCAATCGTGCATACAGGGGCCGCCCTCTTCTCCCCCCCCAAATACACACACACACACACACACACACACACACACACACACACACACACACACAAAACTAATACCCGATTGCAGAGGACGTGGTGGTGCCGTTTGTGAACATGCTGCTCAAATCAGAGGACGGCAGCGCCGCCCTGGAGCGCACCCTGCAGCGGCTGGCCAACATTGCCGGCAGGGCGACTAACCCTGGGGCGCGCCCCACCGCGGGGCCACGTGTGGGCACCTCCTTGCCATTGCCGCGTGGCGGCGGCGACAACGGCGGCGCCAGCTGCAGCAGCTGCTGTCCTGCCTTTGCGCAGACAGGCGCGAACAAACCCTATGGCGCTTCCAACGGCGGGCCCAGCAGCAGCGTCTTGAGCAGACATGGCGGCGCCAACAGCACGAGCATTGGTGTGGGCTGCTCCTGTGGCGCAATCTGTGGCGCAATCAGCAGCAATACAGCCAGCACCAGCGGGCGTGAGAGCGGTGCTGCCGCAGGCTGCGGGGGCGGGAACAGTGGCAGCGCTGCGTCTGCGCGCTCCCGCAGCAGCATGCGAGCTGTCCTTTCATTCAGCTCTCTGGGCCGTGCTGCGCACGCGACCGCGTGTGCCGCTGCGTTTGCCACGGGTGCAGCCTCCGCGGCCAGGCAGGCGCGGCTGCACTGCCGAGTGCTTGTCGACAGCGCCTACAGGGAGACGGCCGCCGCGGTGAGCCTCGCAATGGCCAGCGCGTGCCACCTTCCGGCCGCCGAGACAATGGGCAACGCGCCGCACTCCCATGAAAACGCGCGGTGGCTGCGGCGCAGCAGCGGCGGCGGCGGCGGCGGTGGCGCGCGGCCAAGCGGCGGCGGCGGAGCGGGCGGGCCGGGGGCCAGCTCGCGGCCGGCGGCGCTGCTGTCCGCGAGGGAGCTGCAGGGGCACCTTCCCATCAGCACGCTGGTTGAGGCTGCCGAGGCGGGCGTGATCGGGCTGTCCGAGGCCGAGGTTGCGGCCCTGAGCGCCGAGGACAAGCGGCGGCTGGGCAGCGCCGAGTGGCGCCTGTGGGGCGAGGAGGGCAGCGGCGCAGAGGCCGAATGGCGCCTGGATGAAGGGGACGAGGATCATCATCGGCGGCAGCGGCGGCGGCAAAAGCAGCAGCAGCAGCGGCAGCGGCAGCAGCAGCAGCGGCAGCAGCAGCAGCAGCAGCAGCAGCAGCAGCAGCAGCAGCAGCAGCAGCAGCAGCAACAGACAGGGCAGGAAAAGCAGCAGCAGGGGCTGGCCACAGCTTCAACCGCAGCACCTGCCGACCCCGAGCGCTTCGATGCGCTGCCACCAACAGGCGCACCCGCTTCCCGCAGAGCGCAGCTCTATCGGCGCACCCGCTCCGCTTTTGAGTGCACCACCGACGCGCGGCGCGCCGCGCTGGTCACAGCCGTGGAACCCCAGGACGCGGCGCGGCGCAGGACCCAGCAGCAGTCCTCCATGCAGCGGCCCGCGGCTGGCGCGGCTGCATGTGCGCCGCCGCCGGTGGCTCTGCCCGGGCAAAAGGGCGGCGGCTGGGGCCTGTCTGGACAGGCGATGCACGACCTGCGCCGCCGTCACCGGCAGCTGCTGGCGCAGACCGCGCATGCGCGCGCGCTCGCGCTGGTGCAGCGCCGCGGGCCGACGCTCTGGCAGCGGCTCGTGTTCCGCGCGTCGCGCAGCACGCTCCTGGTGGCGCCGGTCTACGCGGTGTCCGCCCTCGTCGCCGTGCCCGCCGCAGCCCTGCTGCCCTCCTGCCTCCTGTCTGCCCTGCCGGCGCCGCTCGCGGCGGCCGTGCCGTTTGTGGCCTCCCTCGCGTGGCCGCTCGTGCGCGCGCTGCTGGTCCTGCTGCTGCTGCTGGTCCCGGCAGCGGTTTCCACCGAGCTCTTCCTGCGCGTGGTGCGCCACTACTACGTGGAGCCCACCTACACCCTGGGGCAGCAGTGGGTGCTGACCGGGCAGGGGCTGGAGCCGGCCCTGAAGCCGCTGCGGCAGTACCCGCGCCACTACTCCGACTTCAACGGGGTCGAGGGACTGTTTGCGGGGCACCGCATGAAGGCGTACCGCGCGCGCCTGGGGGCGCTGCTGCCAGGAGAGGCGCTGGCGCGGATCCCCAGCTACCGCAACTTGGCGGGCCTGCAGGCCGCCGTGGCGCGCGCACGCAGCAGCGGCGGCGGCGGCGGCGGCGGCGACGGCGGCTGTGTTGACGGCGGCAGTGCGTGATGGAGCGGCCGACAGCGGGGCGGGGGATCCCTTGTGCAGCCCCTGCCCCGGGCCGTTTGGTAGGATGTGTGGCACACGGTTACTACCATGCTGTATAGTTGCTAAGTGCATGAATGGTGTGACACCAGGTGTTGCTGATTAACGCCGCCTCTGTTGTGCTGCCGCAAGTCACGGCCTACCTGGGAAGTTGGGCCGTTGACGGGTGCAAAGGGCCTGGGTCTGGGGAGCACAGCGGCGGCTGGTTTGTGGCTGCAGCGCACACCCGCCGTACGACTTTCAATTGCACAGGCGCCTCGATCGATGCAAACACGACCGAGGACGGGCCGCCTTTGCGTGCTAGTTGCCTCACTGGGAATTCTCTTGTTACAAACGACTCCAGCGGTACAGCAGCCGCTGGTTTACCGCCTGCCCTTGCCGCCACTCTGCAACCCACACCTGCCTGTCAGGCCGTATCGTACGTACATCCTGCGGCTCACCAAGCCCTGGATGCGTCGTGACCTGAAAAGGCGACGGGCACTTTCGTTCGAGCTACTTGAATTGTATCGGCCGTGCGACTCGGCCGCACGACGCAGCAGACCTTGGCCCAAGCAGCTGCGCTGCACAAGCCAAAGCCGCTCGTGTCACACGAAAAGAGATTCCTTCCACTGCGTCCCTCGTCTTGCTAGCGTTCCTCTTTGCCTGCGCACCACGCGCCTGATCACTTTGCCCTCAAAAACCACTTGCCTGCTGCACGCTGCCATCAGCAGCGCACGCCCTGACAGCCGCCTCGCCGACTTGGCGCGACCACCCCAAAACAGCCGCCAACTTGCACAACCGCCCACTGCCGCATTGCGCACATGTAATCGTTGTTGTCGCTCATCACAAATCAGCGGGCAGGTCTGGCGCCACGGTTGACGGTGAGGGGAAAGGATTACAGCTGCCCCCTTTGCCGCGCACACGGCACCTCACCAGCACCTCGTCGGCACACTAAACGCTGTGCGGACGCCGCACACGCCTGTTGATACGGCCAGCGGATTCTGCACACCAGCAGCTGCTGCACGGCAGCAAGCAAGGACGGTTCAGCATGTGGGGCTCAGAAGGCAGTGATGCCACCGATGGAAAGGCAGTCTCTAAAGCGCGTGTCAGGGAACAGGGAACCCCCATAGGTGCAGGGCGCATGACAACACCCTCCATATACGAATCCACAGCACCGAATCAAGTCGAATCGCAAGCATGCGCGGATCAGAATAGGCACGGCCTGCACCCCACAGGCCCAGGAATGCCCAAGTTCCAGTGCACGGCAGCCTCAGGGTAGCTGGCCGGCAGCACTGCAATTGTAAGAGAGGTGTCAATGGATGCTGGCGCGCCATGTGGGCTCGGCCTGTGCCTGCGCGGCTGCCGCCTGCGCAAGTGACGTGCCGCCGCTGCCAGCCATACGAGCCAAGCAGGTGAGCGATACGCGGCCGAGCCCCAAGCAAGCGCTGCCTGGACACGGCAGGCAGGTAGGGCGCCAGCAACCCAGGCTCCCATTCTGCGCCACGTGAAACGAGGCGCCAGACGGCTGCAGGCGACCCACGCCAGGTACAGCCTAGCTTGCGTTCCCGCGCTCACTCCGTCTTGGGAGCTGCAGAGCCTTCCACTGCCTCACCAGTAGTCTCAGCCGGCTCGGCCGTGGGGACGAGCCTGGTTCATGGTTTCAGGTGTGTGTGTGTGTGTGTGTGTGTGTGTGTGTGTGTGTGTGTGTGTGTGTGTGTGTGCGTGTGTGTGTGTGTGTATGCGTGCGCATGCGTGGTGGGACGTTTCCTGGCATGGCTGTGTCATCACCGGATGAGGCTGTGCACACGTAGGGTGCCGTCAACCTGATCACCCCTCCCACGTCCATCCACCAAAGCCTAGCTGGACATCCCCGGCCCACCCTGGGGCCGGCTGCTCACCCCTTTGACTCCTCGCCAGTGTCAGCGACCGGCCCCTCATCAGACACAGCCGCATCAATAGCCTCCACTGCCGCCGCGGCCTCGCCCGCCGCCTCCGCCTGCCGCGCCGCCTCCCCGCGGCCCTTGGGGCTCTCGATGCCCTCAAACGCCGCCGCGGCCTCCGCGATCGCCGCGTCGGCCTCGGACAGCGGCGCCGCGGTGAACTCGACGTCCGCGGGCAGGTGCTGGCCGGGCAGCGGCGACGCTGGCGCCGCGGCCGGGCCCTCGGCCGCGGCCGCAGCGACCTCTGGGACATCCACATGCACTGGCTGCACCGCCGGCGCCGCCGCGCCGGCGCCGGCGCCTGCCCCGCCCTCCGTCGGCGACGCTGGCGCCGCATCACCCTCTGCGCCACCCTTGGGAGCCCCAACGCGCGGCGGCTGCGGCGAGCGCGTGGTCTTGCGGCGCTTGGGCAGCGCCGGCGGCTCGCCAAACAGGCCGGCCTGCTTGCCCGCCGGCGAGCGCAGCGCCACGGCCGGCGTGACGGTGGTCACAAAACTGCCCTCACGCTTGCCGGTGGCCTTCTCCCTCTTATCGTCCTTCTTCTCATCCCTGGCCGCCTCTTTGTCGACATCCTCCTTGGTCACTCTCTCCCTCGTCGTCCTCCTGGACCCCCGGGCCTCCGCCGCGCCGGGCGCTGCGCCGCCCGCCGAGGGCGCCGCCGACGCGGGTTCGCCGCCCTGCGAGCTGACGGGCACGCGCTGCGCCCTGCCGCGCAGCTTCGCGCCGCTCTTGGGGACGGACATGGGCGTGGCAGCCGACGGCGAGGCCGCGGCCGCCGTCGCCGCCGCGGAGGGCGTCGCGGGGCCGCGCGGCCGCGGCGGCCGCTTGGCCTCGGGCGTCGCGGCCGGCTGGGGTTCGGCGGCCGCAGGCTCGGTTGGCTGGGCGGGCGCCTCGGGCTCTGGCACGGGCCCCGCCGCCGCCCGTTGCTCCTCGTCCTGCGCCTGCCCCGCCGGCTCCTGGTCCTGCTGCCCCTCCGCAGCCCGGAGCTCGTCAATCGCGGGCGTCGCGGGCTGCACCTCTGCGGGGGCATCGCAGGCCGCGACCTCTGGCAGCACATCCTCCTCCTGCACGGCCTCCTCCTTGGGCGCGGCAGTGGCGGCGGCGGCGGGCGGCTGCGCGGGCGCGTCGCTGCTGAGGGTCTCCTCCAGGCGGGTGGTGAGCCTCATGTTGGCCGCCAGGGCGGGGGCCTGGGGTGTTGGGAGGGGACGCGCGTGATCGCGCATGAGGGTGGTGTTGGGGCAGGGCTGGGTGTGGAAGATGAAGCGCAGGCGTAGGCATGCGTGCGCCTTGAGCAGAGCCAGCTTTGGCATGTTGCAGCGCCCTCGCTGCGCCCGTGCCCCGGCGGCCCATCAGCGAGCTGCGCAACGTGTGCCGCGGGCCGCCCGCCGCGCACCTGCTCCGAGACGTCGGCTGCGCAGGCGCCCGGGTGCGCCGCGGGGATCGAGTCTTCCTCGTCCGACCAGCGGTCGCTGCTGGCCACCATAGCGGGCTTGGCGGCGATCGGCGCCGCGTGGCTGGCCGGGCCGCCCGGCTGCTGCTGCACTGCAGCGACCTGGGCCTTGAGCGGCAGGCTCGCCGCCAGCGCGGGCGCGGGCGCGGCAACCGCGGGGACCGCTAGGGCGGCACGTGGCTCGGCGTCAGCTGCCTGCCGCAGGCACGAGCAGGAGGCGCCCATCGTGCTGGGCGGAGCGGCTCGGTCAAGGGGTGTGCGTTGGTCGCAACACGGCCCTGCGGCAGCGGCGTGCGGAGCGTCGGCAGGTGCATTGCTGGACCTCAAAGTGTGCTTATGGGACGTTCTTCAGCCATTTAGGCCCTGTCTGGCCGCGATCAGCAGGTCTGGCTGTTCTCTGTTTGGGCAGTCGTCGATACGTCCCAAGCAGTCTCCTCGACTGCACAGCCACACCACTTGATTACACACCGATAGATCCTTTTCTTGCTCACCTCCGGGGGGCTCGAGTGCCAGCCACCTCAACAAGCAGGACGAGACCGCAAGTTGAAGCTTAGGACGCTGCTAAGAGACCCCTAAGATATCAAATTTACAAAAAAAATCTGATCGAGCAGGGTCACGGGCAGTGCACACACTGCGCATGATCGAGCATTGAAGCAGCTGCCCCAGCACTGCAACAGTACAGCATGCTGTCGTGCTGGTCAGCTGGTGTGCCAGCTGGTGGGGCGCATGGCGCCTCTCACAACACATGGATATTCAAATGTTCCTTCAGCCACAGACAGGTGACACATGCTGATCATCGAGCACGTGGTGCACTGCACTGCTGTAGACCGCCTGCCCTCTGGCCCTGCCGCCGTCAGTTATGCATGGGCCACAGCCAGACACCGACGCAGCATGGGGGCGCGTCCGTTACCTCCACTGATGGCCAGGTACACTGCTGCGTACTACAGTGGTTGTGGACAAACGGCACCCAGCAACAAAGTTGGTTCGTGCGCATCTGAGCATTGACGCTGTGCTGACGAGCTGTCTGCCAAAACCTCCAGCCTCGCTCACCAGCATAGCATAGCTGTAACCTGCTCGTTGTCCTGCCCAAAATTGCGCATGCATGCAAGCAATATCCGCATCACTGCAGGCAAAAAGACTGCATGGCTTCCCAAGCGCGGCGCGTGTGTGTGTGCATACACACGCGCCCGAGGCCGTTCAATCCAAAATGAACAACGGGATTGGTTCCCTGCCTCCTCCAAGGGTTGCCATTGCCCTCATCACGGGTGTGCTTGGCCCCGCCCCACCCACTAAAGGATGGGGTTCACAGGTTTACGCACCTCAAAGCCCAGGCCTGAGGCTTCAAAGGCAAGCAGCCGCACACGTTCGCCGTAAGGCACAACCGTCTGAGCCTCGCGTGGCAGTTGCGGCTGCCCCTCGCCCGCAGGCCCCCTTAAAAGAGCGCGCATCCGCAGGCTCAAGTCAGAGGCCCAGTTGCCGCGAAGGCATGCTCGGCGGCTTGTTGCTTCAGTGCGCTGGCTGCGCACGGCTGCTCTAGTAGCCACCGCCCTCGTCGTAGCCACCACCCCCGCCGTAATTGCCTCCGCCACGGCCACCACCGCCATAGCCGCCTGTGGCAAGCGAAGATGTCGTGGATAGGGCACACAGTTGCTCAACACCAACGTGAGTAGTAATGAAGTGACGGAGTTGATGATCAGCACTGCGGCCCTCGGTACTCAACCAGCCGACTCCTGCTGCACACCCGTCAGCCTCACTGGCTGTGCACTCTCGAGGTACGAACGCACATCTGATGGCGCCATTGCCGGCACCCGCGAGGGACCCATGCCCGGTACCCCTCTGGCGCAACTCACCCCCGCCACCACCGTAGCCTCCTCCGTCTGCAGTGGGCGCACGCACAACAAAAGGCGCAGGCGAAAACGGGTGGGTCAGAGCCTGCCTCGTCATCATCAAGTAGCGAGTTTTGAGTGATCTGACTGTGCGTCCTCATTGACTTCATGCAGCATCGGGTCATTGATATTATGCTGTATGGTGGCATCATGGTGGGCATGCGTGTGTGCACCCCCCAGGATCAAGGTATGCCCCAGCCTGCCCCCTTGTTGAAACTCACAGCCTCCGCCACCGCGGCCACCACCACCGTAGCCACCGCTGCCATAGCCACCTGCAGGAGGGGTGAAGACCAACGATGAGGCAGCACACGCTTGCTGAGACCGGCTTAGATCATCTCTGACAATCATTCACATGTCTATCTACATTCTCCTTAGGCTGCGGGGCAACTGTTTTTCCGCGTGCGGTCGGTTTTGAGGCGGCCCCATAGCGAAGACGCCGTGGCTGGAACTCACCACCCCCGCGTCCGCCCCCACCCCCTCCGTAGCCCCCGCCGCCGCCGCCGCCCTCGCGGGACTGGGCCTCGTTCACGCGGAGGGTGCGGCCCTGCGATGCCAAGGACGAGGATGGTTCAGTGGCTGCGGGTCGCGGTGGCTGCGTGTGCATGGGCCCGGGCGCTGAAAAGAAGCAGTTGAGGTCAAAGTGTGGATTTGCTGGGCAAATGCTGCTGCGAGTGGTGGCGGGCACGCGTGCACACACGCCTGCGCACAAGGGATTGCAGCTTGACTGTTGCGGGCAGATGTAGCCGAGTGTGCAGAGGTAGGTCCCACCAACCTGGAACTCCTGGTTGTTCAGTGTGTTCATCGCGGACTGATGCGGAGCCACAGGCAAGCCATCCCAGGGAGGAGCGCAGGCGGGCAGAAGTGAGGAGGCGAGGCGCAGGACCATGGGAGGGTTGTCTGTGCAGGTGCATGCGCCTCACAGGCTGCTGCTGGCAGTTGCTGTGGCGTCATCCGCCCCTCTGGGTTAGGCAGCGGCTGTGGCTGGCCCGTGTCGCGCCTTGCGTGGGGACACTGTTGGTGCAGGTGGATGGTGTTTGTGGAGCGCACCTGGGCCTGCTCAGAACCCATTGTGACGAACCTGCATAAGAGGATGCGCAGGGGAGAGACACCCATGGGGCAGGGAAGCAAGTGTGCTGTGCACCAGGCCATGCAGGCTGCTGGGTGCACCCAGGGGCACCAGCCTTGCAATTGTGATGCAGTCAGCTGCAACGAGCAGCGGGCGGCGGACGGCGAGCGGCAGGCGGCAGGCACGGGCAGCGAGCAGGCAGTGCCTGCAGGACAACTGTGGCGTGTCGCCCGTGGTTCCACACCCGAAGCCCCTGGAGCGACCCGTCTCGCGGTCTGCGCGATGGGTAGGTGTGGACGAGGTTCAGAGTGGGTCAAGGTGCGAGGTCAGCAAAGGGGCTGAGTTACTTTTGGAAGGTGACAAGGCCTTGTCAGCCCTAGGGACCAACGTCACCTTTGAGCTGAAGAAAAGATAGGGGTGGCAGCAGCAGAACCACGGCATGCCCACTGTTGTCATGCAAAGAAGGCGAATGAAATGGCAATTCTCAGACGGCCCAGAATTTATGTCTGGTGGGGTTCGTGTCGGCTTGCGGGCAGGTCACCTGCTTGGTCACCGGCCTTGGGGGCTCACCCGTGGGAATGAAGGCGTCGGTCACTTCGCCGTACTTGCCAAACAGCTAAAGGTGCAGTGAGTTGCGGCGCAGGGGGCAGGACAGGGGCCGGCACCAGGGTTGTCAAGGGTGTGCATCAGCACACGGGGCACACAAGGCGTGTGCTCACGCCGAGCACACAGGGAAACCAGGGCAGCAGTGCCGGTGACCATGCCACCAAGGACGCTGACAAGTGACAGGCTGCATTCTGAGGGGAAATCACACAGGTCTGCTTGAGCACAGTTGCAAAGCGCCAGAAGTGCACATGTTGCTCGTTGCTGACAGCTCTGGTCGCACGAAACATGGAAGGTTGTTCAGCCTCCCCATACCTCGTATAGGTCCTCCTGTTTGGGCACAATGGCAAGAATGATAGCATTGGGTTGAGGGAATGCAGGCCGTATCAACGCTACGGTCAGCAGTGGCGGCAGGCCGCCGATGATGACAGCAGCAACTCTCACATTGCAGCAGCCGTGCGCACCGCACCCAGACAATCGCACATGAAATCGGTCTGAGGCCCCCGAAGAACGATTTTCTGCAGAAACAAGGCTACGATGTGTCCCACAGCCACGCGGCTCAGATCATTGGCGTGCTGCTGCATCTTGCGCAGATTTGTGCCCGTTTATGCTCACCTGAGTCGTTTGAAAGCTCAGATTGCCAACGTACCTGCGTGTAACAGGCCGTTTATCGTGGTTGGGCCATCCCTGCCGCCACGACAGCAGGATTGGGGACAAAGCGCGAGCGGAAAGTCATGTGGGGAACAGCTCACATCTTTGTTGTCATCTTGAAAGCGTCAGGCGGGCCTGAAAAGCACCCCGAGGAACCACAGATCACACCAAGCAGGAGCCCGACGAAAGACTCGCAAGCGAAATCCCCAAACGAGTCGATAGCCTTTTACTGTAGCGTGAGAACGCGAGCTGCAAGTGAGGCCTTCCATAGCAACGGTCTTTGACGCCACAGCTTCTCCGCGACCACGGGAGAAGTGAAGACAGCCGTGGCCGACATCACAGACACTGGTGAGCCCGTGCATGGCTGCACAAAGCTGTTAAGCCCGCGCGGCGCAGGAAATGCCAAGTTGTGAGTTGTTTGACCAGGTCAATTCGGCCATACCGACTCACTGTACGTAGCATGCCGTGATAAATTCCTTTGATAATCTGCCCTCAACACGATCGCTCGATCGAACATGAATTGTCCGAAAGACCCGCTTGTTCCGTCGTTCGAGCGTTGC